TCCACTTCTACCCATATTTTCATTACCTCGGTGCTTCTCTTTTCTTTCTTTCTAAATCACTTTGCTCTGTGCCTTTTGCCTCCTGTCCCTCTCAGTTGAAAACATTTTGTTTTACAAATACTAAAATTCTCCTGAACTCATTTTCTCCTTTATGTCAATGTTATCACTTTATTTTGTCCATGAATGAAAGTTCAGACCTTTTTTTTGCTCTGCTCCTTTCAATAACTTTTTTGCTAAATTCCTGTTTATTATTCCCCCAAATCTCCTGACAATCGATCTGTTTCATCTTCATACTTTTCCAGTAAATCTAATCTTCTCATTCATCTACTCAAGTTTCTTCAGTTGTTCTCATGACCTACCAGATAAAATCCAAATTTCTTTACAAGGTTTAAAAAATTCCCAAGTACATATCTAACTTCATTTTCCCCTGTTCCCCTATTTTCCCTTTGCACGCTCCCACTAGCAGCACAAACATATTTGTGGTTTCCAGAACACGTCATATGTTGTGTCATGCCTTTGTAACTTTTATTCCTCCATTTCCTTCATTGCTTTTCCTCATCCATTTGCAAACCTCCTCGTCATTCTTTGAGATTGCTCAAAGATTATCTCTGCCGTGAGGCTGTCATAGTCTCTTTTAGGCGGACCTGGGACTGCTCTCTCCTAAACTACATTCCTCCAATGTTCTTAAGAATATTGTGATTGGTATTTGGGGTCAGGACTTGGGGATTTTCCTTTTCCAACACCTAATAGAGCACACATCACATAGTTGCCCAATCATCTTTGTTAATCTATCTTCTTATTTCTCCTACCATAATGCTATAGTCAAATTCTTTCTACTTGAATATGTTTCTCAAACTATGTTCTTTAGGACCCTTACAAAAAAGTTACAAATAGAACTAGGCTCAGATAATTTTGTGAAATGTACGTTTGGTTTAATTGTAGATTTAGAAGAAAAATTCAATTTTTCTTTTCTGGAATAGTCCAATTATTTTTTAGTTCTATATTGATTCTCAAGTGCAAACAAGGTCCATAAAAGAAATAAATCAACTTAACCACTTCAAATGAGAAATTTATATTTGTTTTTACCATGATCTGGACAAGGAACATCAACAACAACAACAACAAAAAACAAATCATACGTATAGATGACTATGACTCCAGTATAACTACCTCTAAATTTTCAAACTCACCCCAACTTCACCTAGATTATCACCAATGTAATAGAACAAATTTTACTCAATTGCCTAATTGTTCTTATTTACAGTAACTGATGGATTGATGTCAGCCTGATGACTTTAAACAGTTTAACTTTGAGAAAAGTTAACTGTTACAAGGAAAGATTTTGGGAAATAGCCACTGAAAAGTAGAGCATCAACTGAGTTCAATCGAGAGTACAGAAACTATACTATGAAACCAAGGGAAGGTAGGGAAATGTTACACAGAGGTTAAAGGAGGGTCTTCAGATCAAAAAGGGAAACAATGGTTTGAGCCAGAGATATGAACTATAAGAAGTTGCTAACAGCTGTAGAGCTTGGGAGAATCAAAGGCAAAGATTGGGTTGCTGGAACTCAGAAGCTTAGAGGAGGGATCCAGCTGAACTGGGGCTTAGATGCTGAGAAGTGGGAATAGCTAGGCTGGGGCTGCTCCCTTTGAGGGGTCTTAATAAGTCTGCTTTTTAGAGTGTAAAAGTGGGAGGTTGGGACCAACTGATAAAGACATAGTGATGGGCTGTCACTGTGGAAAGTGATGCCAATGGGGAAAGAAACAAGTGTGAAAGAACGAATCCCCTTTTCCTATTCCTGCTTTCTGTAGTCTCTTGGTCAAGAAGACATGTAGTTTGCGGAGTTTCCACCCCAGAATTAGAAAACTAGATGTAGAACTATGAACTCAGAATGATGAGACAACAGTTCAGTAAGTAGCATCAACAGAAATTAAATCAAGAGTCTTAAGCAACAGCTAGAGTAGCTATCTTCTCACTTAAAAATATTTAACATGATTAGTCATATGCTTACGACTTTTTCCCTTAAAGATTTTTGCCATAGGGCATGTGCGCTGGCCAGAGAAAGGGAAGGTGAGGAATCACTAACTCTGCACTCTCATCCTCTAGGGCATGAGGGTTGGGAGAGAGGGTGACCATGCCACAATCCCTTTTCCTCCATTCTCCTCTTGAAATTTTGCACACATGCACACATGCCTGGTGTGTTGTTCAAGCATCCAGGTGTGGGACTCAAACTGCATAGTCGGCTATGCTGGATCCAGTGCCTTAACTGCCATGACACCTGGTGGTCCAAGACTTTCAGAAATTAATATATTTCTATTGAGTTTGTTATTAGACATGCACTTAAATAGGTTATGTGACTATAGTTACTGCTTAGTCATCCAATCTGTGATTTATATGGCAGTTATTTTTCTAAGTGTGAAAAAATAGACACCTGCTTGCCCTTGTAAAACTTTTATTGTAGTAAAGGGAGAGGGGAGGAAAAAACCTAGTAAGTAAAGATATAACACATCAGATGGGGATGCAATGGAAAAAATGAAGCAAGTTGAAGGGAAAAGGGATAGGGGTGGGAGTAGCACTTTCATAGGGGGTGGTCCTAGAAGGCATCAGTGGTAAAGTAAAATTTGAGAAAAATCCAAAAGAAATATGAAAGAGAAAGCGGTAGAAAGATATGGAGACAACAGGCACATCTTTTTAGTAGCAAAGAGTGGCATTTGATAAATGAAGTTGGTGAAAACTTTGCAAGTGGGTGGACTTTTTTGTGGGTTTGCAATTTGTTTTTAACTATTTGCATAACTCTACAGGGATTCTAGCTGGGTAGTAGCATCAGCTTATTATCAAATAAAGTACCAAGTTCAAACATTCCACAAAGCATTGCTCATCTCTTCTACTGAGGGAAAAGCTATGTTTCTTCACACAGCAGGTTATAAAATACTTGCTGATGGTAAGGGGAATTAGCTGAAGTATATAATGTCCTACCTCTACTATAAAATACGGCCTTTGTTTCAGAGTCAGCTATGAAATTCTAATAATACTTCAAACCTTTCATTTGGATTATTTGAGTAAATGTAAAATGCCCAGCCCTATACATAATTACTTCTTTGTTATGATGTCAATCTTTGTTTTTTAGTTGAGTTAATGAATCTCAATAATTAGCAAATAGTCTTTGAGGCAGAAAGTGGGACGGACACCATCAGTATTCAAAACAATAAACCATTGTTGGCATTAGGATCATGTTGCTTTTTGTTCAGAATTTTTCTTTTTCCTGAGAAAATACATGCATGGTATTCAGTAGTGTCAAATAATGATAAGTTAACTATAGTGAAGTATTCCTTCAACTAACCTGTTACTCAGAAAACTATAAACTTATCTGTAAAGGAAGAAAACTACAAATTGTTTAAAACTCAGCAATATGCTCATTGTAAAGGTTTAAAAAAATCAATAGTAATTCTGGTCTTTGAAAAAAAAAATTAGTTGTACTATGTAATGTGAAGTCTTTTTAAGTAGTTTGTACAAATTTCCAACAAGAAAGCTTAGGGTAGGTATGGTTACACTTCACTCATTGGAGGAGAATGTAATTTCATACTAGCCATTTTAGAAGGTAGAAATTTGAGTTACCTTAGTAAATTTGTTTTTAACTGACAAAGGATCGCAAGGGGTCAGCGATGCCCACTGGAAAGCAAGAACTTAATTCTAGCAGGAAAATCATCTCATATGACCGGTAGTACTTGCGGAACACTTAACCTGTGTGCCTAGGTTCTTCCAGCTATCCAGCTGGGATAATAGTAATGGCTCCCTTCCACAGGAAGTGAGTATGTGCTTTGACATCTGTGATTGAAGATGCTATAGCAACACAAATTATTATTTTTAGAACAAAACGTATGTATGCACATGTAACACCAGCTTGGTGCTCTTTTAGTGCTTATATAGCATATGCGCTTATACTGGCCTTCCATGCTTTTGCTTTACTTTAGGCCTGAAGAGAATATAATCCGAGTATGCCACTATTCTATTTCTCCAAACATGGAGGAAACACATTTTTTTAAAGCTCGATATCATCCTTTTGAGAAACACTAAACCTGCTAATTCCTTCTGGTTTCTGCAGCAATTGCACCATGGCACCCATATTAAACCTTTGGTACCTTTAAAAATGTTGGCTAAATTACTTTTCTTGGAGACTGGAATCTTCAGGGAAAGGTTGAGGAACGAAATTGGCTAGCAATATTAAATCTCTGGTTGTTTAACATTTAACTGAGTCTCAATGTGTTAAAGTGCTATCTAAACAGATAATTAGCTAGTCGTTGCACAGTGGGCTCTGTCTAAATTTAGCAATGAAATTAGGTTTAGGGAATGTGAAAAGAGGGAAAGACATTTTCCCAAGGGAAACGGTGGTGTCAGCACAGCTGAGGAATGTCACAATAGCTACATTTCGTCAATTATGATCATCAGGGGATCTCCCGGAGCATGCAGGACAAAGTATCCTGAGACAGAAGACAGCAGTGGCTGCTGGGGACAGGCTTACAGGGGACAGCATAGGCGGGCAGGCACAAGGAGGGGAAGAAAAGAGGAAGGGGGTGAAGGAAAAGCGGTACAGGACTGATGCTAGGAGAAAGGATGGGAGGCGGAAGTTAAAAAAGAGAGCTTAAAAAAAAAGAGACTGGACAGGGAGTAGAATAATAAGTAGCCTTGGAGGTGGGTAAAACGTCAGTCTGTGGGTAGTGGGTGGGAGACCCTAGTCATTGAAAGCGAGGAAGTGTGGTCCTGGCCACAGGCAAGCATTAGTTTAGCTGCGACAGGCTCATCTCTGGGCGGCTGATCCTTGCTGGGCTTTCTTCTTATTGGAGCACATGGGTGGCGATCGGGTGGAGACGGCGGGACCTACATAAAATTAATGGTTGTAAGGTTGAGGACTGATGTACTCCGCCTCCGCCTGCTCACGAGGATGGTCCAAACTGCCCACCTTCTTTCCCCGCCGAACCACGAGTGGCCGTGACTCCAAGGTCAAGCCGCCGGGGCTATGTGGCGGGTGGATGAAAAAGGTCAGGCGAGTAGCCATCTAGGGAGAGGGAGGGTCGTGGTGGACCACGAACACTCCTCTCACGGGCAAATACGTTTAGTACTTTCCAAGGTCGTTTTCCTGATCTCAGTTGACAGCAAAGAGGCAAGAAAATAAAATTTCACAGGCGAACGTGCAAATGAAACAAAACCAAAGAAAAACACCACCGCACCCGAAGCCCTCTTATGGGGGAAATCCGTGGCCTCCTGTTGCCAAATCGCCCGGCGTGGAAAGTGCACAGCCGGGCGGCCAGAGAAGCGGGAGCGAGAAAGCAGCTTCTGGGGTCGCTCTCCCTCGCCCCGCTCCGCTGACCCTTCCACAAGTCGCCCTCTCAAAGCAAGGAGCGGCAAAAACGCCTGTGCAAACGTGTCGCGGCGAGCAGGCGTGGGGTAGTGGAGCTAGGAAGGGAGGGATTCGGAGAGCACAGCTGTCCTGGGCAGAGGAGGAAGGAGCAAAGTCTCTCCTTTCAGTCCCCCGCGCCCGGCGAGGAGGGGAACGACTATTCCAGCAGGCTGCGTCCAGCTTCTAGTCGGGAACCTTTGGCATGGCAGCAGAAGGGCAGACCCATCTTGCCTTCCCTTCCCCACCCCCTCCTCGGCCCGGGTCCCCGCCGAAGACAGAGCCGCCCGGGAAACGCGAGGGCCGAGCGCGATTGTCCCGCAGCCCTCCGCCTCTGTCTGCGCGGGGCCACTGTGGACCCGCGCGGGGCGGG